TGTGTGTGTGTGTGTGTGTGTGTGTGTGTGTGTGTGTGTGTGTGTGTGTGTGTGTGTGTGTGTGTGTGTGCTCACCGCCCCCCGAGTCGCCGTATGCGTAACTTTTCGGAGCGTGACCCGTGCCGTTGATGGTGGACTCCGTTGTTCTGCCGGGTCCGGATGGTCTCTGAAGTGTGTCGTGGCCCCGAGGATCCTGCCAACAAAGAGGAGACTCAAAACTGTGTCGTATGAAAAATTGATGCTGCCGCTTCACACAGCAGATTGAACAAAAACAGTTTCATTTATTACCCKTGGGATTGGTCTTTTATATTTCATTTGAACCAATAACAGTTATTCCAAGTCATAATAAATGCCTCAAATACCAGAAAGCCTAAAAAAAATATAACTTGTGAGCTGAAACTTTCCTCTTTTTAGAATGTGAAGAGTTAAAAATACAGAGTAGTTTAGTTCATGCTTTCTGTAATTAAACCAAGAACTAAACACAAATAAATTGAATGCACCCTGCTCTCATTATTCTTCTTCATGAAGATGTAATAAAAAACTAAAATATGTATATATGTAATTAGGTCAGTGTAACCTCAGAACAATAAAATCTAACATTTTTTCTTTCTTCTACTAAAGTGCCCAGTGTGCTTCACTTGAAATACTGAAATCAGATCGGACTGTCGCAGTTTCATGATGAAAATTGCATTATTTTTCTTCGCATTGTCAACTTTTTGACACCTTCCTGTCTCGACCCTAACCCACAACAAATGTTGTAACAGGAAGCGAACATTTAGAAAGATAGTCAAATGGTCAAAAACTCATGGATGGAGATAAAACAGATGTGCACAGAGAAATCTGTCTGATAAAAACTGGAGCTTTAACTGGGACAGATTTGTGCACAAATAACGTTGGGTAACTGATCTTGGATTTTTTTTCACCCCTGCATTATAGACTCCAGCAGAGGGGTTTYCCAGGAGCTTGGCACGGTGTGTCTCATGAGCTATGAAAGGTGTGTGCGAAAATGAAAGCCGAACAACCACGTCGCACATCGCTTGGTCAGCTGCTGATTGACCATATTGAGCGTTTTACACCGAGTCTTAGACTAAAAAGACCATGTTAGGCTTCACTAAAGATTTTCCAAAACTGTATTTYAATTCTTTAATACTATAAAAATGTCCTCTAAGTTATTAACTATTTTATTATAAGATCAAAGTTATACAGCGGAAAGTGTTTCTATGGTAGTAAATAGAATAGCTGCATTCACAAGACGCCTCAGTCAAGGGGGAAAGGGGGGTTTGAAGAAAGCCCACCTGATGCAGAGTGAGGTAGTAACAGAGCCAAACAGGCTGACATGAGAGGAAGAAACCAGCAGGTCAGTAATGATAATGAACTGATGACATTAGTGTGTGACCGCCTGCTTGTAGAGTAAGGGAATCCTGAAGATGAATCAGCACAGCAACTTTGTATTTTGTAAAAAAAAAAAAAAATCGAACCATAAAGAGAATCGCTATAGTAAGTAAATTCAGTATGTTTTGTGGCATCTGTCAGACATGACATGAATYGCACAATATATCTGCAATGTTCCAATCTTATTTTATTGAAAARCRTTGAACAATACCCTCTGAAACAATGCAAACTTGTTTTAGCTGGACATSAGGTAGYGCTCACAGCAGAGCAGAAGAGGACAGTGGCTGATTTTCAGACCTCGGTGGAGGAAGATGAGAAGCCGATCTTTTCCAYTGATCTTATCYAAGTATCAGCAGATCTCCCAAAATTAAGGAAATTAAGGAAACTAACTAAAYACATTTAGATTTCTGGCTTTGATACCTGGATAATCATGATATCAWGAGCRGTTCCAGAGATGTGGCTTCTGTTGTTCTAAATGGGAAGCTCTCTGGAAAATCAGTCTAAACCCTATTTTTAACATATTCTAACAAGGATTTCATGACRTCATTTGAAAGAGGAAACCTCAATATATGGATATCAAGTTTTCTCTGATGGTATTGAAAGTAGCCGTCAGTTCGTCAATGCGGTCAGAATTAAACCACTTCTCCAAAACTGAGGTCGTTTAAAAAGCTATCTACAACAGGATTTATTGTTTATAGCCTTTTGTTAGAAACGTTAAATGTTCTGCTTTGTAACTGTGTGATAGGGAAGTTATGATGTTTATCAGAAATGTTAGGGAAGTTCAGAAAGCACATGAAGAACCTGTCACTCCATGTGCGAGACACCAACCTCCACAGCTGATAGCGGGAGGTCACCCTGAACTTGAACCCTAGATAACAGGAAGTTGGTAGAAAAAACACGTAGACAAACAAGCTGTGAGTTCATCTTTGCTGATTCTGCCTGAACCTGTCTGTAGTCTTGGACTCCTCGTGCGCAAGGAAAAGAGCTGAGGTGACTTCACTCATGTGTCACTCTCTCTATTTGAGGTATCTTGACAAAAAAAAATCCAACAGCCTTTCCATAAAGCCCCGCTTCAAAAGACCTGAACTATCCCTTTAAGACTTGATGTAAAATGTTTGTACAACTTTAAAAAAGCACCTACGCAGCCACATTAACTGCTGTGCTAAAACACACGCCATCTGTTTAACAGCTCTTCTTCTCAAACACACAAACGTTTACAGCTATTCTAAAAATCCTCTGTGACAGTTCATCATCGGAGGAGTGCTTTAACAGAACATTAGCTTTGTGAGTTTATGTTACAATAACAATTTCTTTCATGTGTCAAGCAGGCAAATACAAAAGGCGGCAACATTTATTTTTGTTGTCGACAATTAAGTCTCGAAACCAAAAAATATATATATGGAAAAATTAAAAATGGAGAGTAGTTAAATTGATAATGACAGAGGGGAAGTTTGTCATGACTGTGACTGCATCAACATATCAGTCAACATTTGACAGCTGAGTATTTATTTCTTATAATAACTAATTGGGACAGTTTATTTTGGATGTACGTCTTGTGGAATAGATCACCTCCTTATCAGGCATAAATTATGGACTCGGTGCTTTAAAGGTGGGGATTTCGACAATGTGTTCCTGCAAATTATCAACAATAAGGTGACTGAACAAACTGAGGATGCCTGAGAGCTCTGGGAGGCATTATCAAACAGACATGCAACACAACAAAGAACCCCCCCACCCCCACCACCACCACCTCAGAAATGGAGATAGGGACTAAGCGTGCTGCTGGTGGAAGATAAAAGAAGCTTTCTGTGGTCAAAGAGATGGGAACTACAGCCACCCGCCTATACACACTTATCCAAACAAAACAAAAAACACCATGCCGAAGACACGGCACTCGGTAATGAAAAGGTGTTCCGGTAGCTTCCTCGAATCAAAGCAGCGGGTGTCAGTGCATCGGTGGCACTGTGCAGTCCCTGAGGTATCATTAGCAGTGAGCGCACATCTCAATATACCACGATATCACTCTGCTGTCAATCAGGCCGAGTGCAATAAGTAACTTCTGACAGTTCTCTATGACATATAAATCCTATCAGAGCCCACCCCCCTGCCCATCCCTGCAGCTACCCCTCCATCCGTCCCTCAGCTGGAGGCGTTTGAAGCAGTGTGGCAGACAGGCAGTCAGATATCTTAATCCCATAACAATAGGTAAACGTTTGTGTATGGATGCAGTCAGCCTTCAGCAGATAGACACAGAGAGTTTACTGAAGAATCAGACACTTGGTGCTTCTACCTTGGTAAGCATTGTTAAGGCAGCACCACAGCTTAACGGTTAGCACTGTTGCCTCACAGCAAAAAGGTTTTGGRTTCAAACCCCAGATCAGACCTGGCGTTTGCATGGGTATCCTCTGGTTACTCTGGTTTCCTCCCTCTGTCCAAAAACATGCATGTTAAGCTGCCTTCAAGCTCTTGAATAGGAGATCTGTGATCTCAATGGGATTTGCCTGGTTAAATAAAGGTCAAATAAATAATTTATCATTTGGACTTATCAATGATTTGCCTGCTAGACAAATAAAGTATGGGTGTTTCAATACCAGTTTTTAATCAAACCAAGTACAAGTACTTCAATTTGGGTACTCACCAATACCRAGTACCRATACAAAGTACTTACTGAGTTAGAACTTAGCATTACACAATGACTTTAAAAACATTTCTTGTGTTTAGAACAAGGTGACTCTCCTTCCAAATAGGCCTACAGCCCCTCTGACTGTTTCAAATCAAATACACAGCATGATATATAAGTACACACGTTATATACGTTTCCTTGGAAATGTAAACTGTACCATACTATACTATACTATACTATACCAGTAGGAGTACCTGTTCCAGGTATCGGGGGCACTATACTGGTATCTGTATCGGGACACCACTAAAATAAAGCAATGATTAATATGTAATCTCTCTAAACATTTTATAAAACTGCACAGTGACACTAGAAATTATACCAGAAGAAAAGCCTGGCACTTAGAGGAACAGGGAGTTAAATTTAAATATTTGACAAAAATTACTACATTTTTCTTATAATAACTGGCCGGGCTGTGCTTGAAGGAATACATACCACCCTCCACCTTTCATGACAGTGTTGTAAAGATCACCTTGTGTTGAGAAATGATGGAGTTGTAGCRTTTTTGGTCAAACTTTGAAAATAACACTAAGGGCAAGATGTGATGCTCAGAGTGTGTGTTGTTAACAGAACTGTCTCAAATAGCCAAACACAAGCAGGGATCCTGAAGGCTTTTTGCATTAGTTTGTTTAATTTACCAACGTTATGAGTCCTCTGACTGGCTGTTAAATGATGACAGAAGCGGGAATTTGCAGATATGCCTTGAACGTTGAACTGTGTTTGACAGCATTTRTCCACCGGCTTGAATCAATTAGATTCAAACACACGGGCAGCACTGCGATGGAAATGCCACAACGAGCAGGTCGACCCCGGACCCCTCCCATTTCATCTCTTGTTTCCACACATTATTGCTAAACATCTGCTTTAAAACTGCTGTGAAGCCTTCTTTTAGGCTTTTGAAACCATCGCACAGGGTTCATCGCAGAGTTCAGCAGAGAGACAAAACCAAAATGAGTCATTTTCTCTTGGGTTTTTCACRCTTGATATGATCCTCAGTTTGTCTGTACAACAGTTTGGTTTCTGAATAGCTAAAGTTTAAATCAATACTTGAGTTGAGCTTTAAGAATAATACTTTAGGTCAGAGAAAGTAAATGCCTTTATACAGGACAGCAAATACTGTATATATATATTTTGTTTTGTCAACTTCTTCTCCTTTGAGGATATAAATGTATTTATGTATTTCAGGCTGGTATCAAAACGGACAAACAGGTRACTGTGAGCATAATTTGGTAGAAAAGCCAAGAACGAGTCCTAGGCAATGTTCACACTGCAGATCCACTTTGTTTTTTGGTAATTATATTTATAATTTAAAGTCGACCTCCATCAGACTCCAGAGTGAACAGTCCATGACCCTGAAGCAGAAAAAGATGYGACGTCACACGCAGCACACAGTGTTTACAGAAGTATGGATGCTACATGTTAGCATGTCCATTCTGAAGTTGTTGTGCAATCTGAGCAGACTATCATCTGCTTTGCTTGTTTCATAATGYTTATATGTGACCCATCATATCTAAATGAGGATTAAGTCAAATTTGGTCAAAATGGCCTAATTACATTTTCAGATTCTTGGCTCTAAAAGCTACATTTTGATACCTGGATCATTCTGATATAATAATTAAATCCATATATAAATGACTTAATTTGTCCTGTTGGTTACAATAATACATAAATATTTGATCTGAATCCTAATTTTATGTCCTTTTAATGAAGAATTTTTGATGTCCTTATAAAGAGGAAACCTCAAATTATATTTGAATATTGAGATTTCCCAGCTAAAAATAAGCAAAACTTTGCTAGCTCACAGGGAAAATCTCAAAATTTTAAGGCGTTTTTCCTCAAAATCAGTTTTTTTTGTAGCTACTGCTCAAAAGAGCGCTTCAAAATTTTGTTTTATGATTATATTTCAGGCAGTTCATTCAAATGAAACATTGATAAGGCTTGTATTCATTATATTTTGACAAAATGCAATTTTTGTTAACGTTTTTGTCAAAACATTATATTTGCTTATTTCTCCTTATACCACTTTTGGACTTAATCCTCGTTTCGATGTGTTGGGTCACATATTTGGTCATGCCACTTCCTGCCCACTCAGGTGCAGATTTGCTCTTCTGGAACAGGGGCGACTGAAAGTAGAAACAAATTTGAGCATCTATTTCATCAAGCTAGTTTTGATACAAACCAACATGTTGGTATGCCACCGTTGATACCATATGTTGTATAATCAGATTTGTAACATTCAGACATTCAATTAAGTTAGTTCATATCAGTTGATATTGATAATTATTGATTAGTTTTTTGTTTTACCCRTTTGAAATCAGGACCAGGAGAAAAAAGGTTGATTATTTCTGCCAAACTGGTGATGTGACCTTTTCTCTTTTATCCACAATTTCCTCTCGAGCTGTTGCATTCATTTTCTCCTTTCACTATATGTCACCCTTTTATATTTTGAAGCAGTTCTGAGGCACGGTGCTGAAACATGAAACTGCTGTTGCACATGTTACTCAACAGGTTGTTGCTAGTTTACCAAAGAGTGACTGAGATGATGCCACCAAGCTTGATTAGCTGGGCTGTGAGAGGTCGAGTGGCTAAAGCCTTTCCTCTGCCCACATCCCCCAGAATGTTGTGCAGTTCTGGATCAGAGTTCAGTGAAATAATCAACATTGTTTTGGCTGTATTTTCTACTGATATTGATCACGTGTCTATTGCAACATATCAATATTGTTTTATCATCCTGCCGCAATCCAGACTGTCATAAAAACATGGATGTGGGTAACTTCTCTAATACAGGGCTAATCAACTAAATCAYTCCAGGAGCCACAGTTACACAAAGMCAACAGCTCAGAAGCTGGACATGCCAGGGGGGTGGGGCTTTGCCCACTAAAAGTAAACACTGCAGTATGTAACAGAACGAACATCATCTTTTACCTTTTAAAAGGAAATGACTGAGAATGTTAAATTCTTCCTGAAGCAACTAACAAGGACTAAAGCTCAGGAAAGAAAAAGCAGGAGAGAASAGAGGGGATCAGGAAACCAAGCGTTTTATGAACAAAGAAAGAAAAAAACAACAAAAATAGACAGAAAGGCATGCAGGAGGCTTCAGATCAGCTTTATTTAAAGGACAAACARGCAGGTGAGACAGGAAGACAAAATTACAGTCTTTTAAAAGAAATATATATATAAAAAGCAGAAGTCAGTATAAAACTTTACAAAACAAGCAGGAATAAGTAGGAAYGTCCCTCACAGACTGTAGAAAACCCCAGTGGTGTGGAATAATCAGAGCTGAAGATTATTTCAGAGAGTTAAAGCAAAGTGACAGAAGAGAGACACCCACAGAGAAGCACTGAAGTTATTAAAAAAAAAGAAGTTATGCATTAATGGTGTCCCAGTAAGTGGTGACAAAGGGAAAGCTTTCCGACAGACTAACTCTCTACTCCTTCCACTGATTGATCCTTTAAAACCGTCACATTCACGAGTCTCATGCCTGCTGGATCAAAGTCCACYAGCGAGGTGAACCTGTTGTCTGCCTGAGTTACGGCTGTGTGTGTATTTATGTAAGTGTGTGTTTCTATCGATGTGTGTGGGCGGGTCTCCGTACATGCGGCCCGACATTGCTCGGATGTTTTCGACGTAAAGGTACGACTGCGAGCCGTCGTCTCTGATGTCGTCCAGCGTGCGGCTGCGTGTGTGTCGGGCCTTGCGTCTGGGAGCATCCGTGCGACGCCGCGCGTTTCCCTGAGCGTCTACGAGCCGGTTATCAAGCCCGACGTGAATGTGCGCCTGATCAGAAACGTTCCTGTCTTTGGACCTGTTCCAGCCGCTCGGCGACTGACTGACAGAAACAAATTTGTGCTTCGATCGGTGCAAATTGCTCGGAGGGTTCCTCCCTTTACGGCCATCCTCCTGTGTGAAACCTGAACACGTATTCCACTGGTTAAAGCCATACGTGTATCTGGTGTGCGTCTCCCCCGGCCGCTGTCTGTGGCTGAGAGTCAGCGGCTCAGACGCTCTCCTCCTGAGCATGGGGAGGAGGGAGGAGGAGTGGTGAGGCACAGCGGGCTGCAGCTGGCATACGTCACCAACTCGTACCTGATTGTTGGAGCCTGCTGGGATGGTGGGCTGACTGGAGGACAGATTTGTCGCTGTGCTTGCTGCAGACTTGCCATTTTTCATCTGGAAAGAGAAGAAGTCATCAATTAAACCATATGTTGTTGTGAAGAAACACAGCCACTGCCACATCCTAATAAGAGCTCCAAAATAAGACATTAACCTACTATTTTTGTATAAAAATTCTTACAAGACTTATACAAAAATACAACTTTACCCTTTGCTTTATTTTGCATTGTGCTTATAAAACGGCCAGCTTAGTATGTAACCCTTTGTACTGAAACCTTTACACAAAACTGTTGTGTTTACTGACCGCATAAATGGTCTTTGAACATATCTAGCTATAAACAGAGTGAGTCAAAAGACTCAGGACACCCATTAGTTTTAGAAAGAAAATGGGAAATGAAATATGTGAATACCACAGCAAGAAATGGATGAGGTCTAGAGCATAGCTGCTATCTTAAAGCCACCATATTGGGTCAATTTCAAAAGATATGCTCCTCACCTATAATTTGCTGGGATATTCAGATATGTCATTTTCCCCTTTTTTTGAAATAAAAAGGTGTCCTGTGGCTTTAGACTCAGCCTGTAGATTCAAGAATGTTTCATATAATCAAAATCTAACTAAACTCTTGGAAAGTGAAACGYTTTTAAGTGTAGTCCACATAAAACAAGGTTCAAGGACAAAACCAGCTGAGTTAWGRCCCAATATATACTGTAWAAGTAAATGTGAAAACAATAAAAGTTGGTGGTATTAATACAATTATTGACCCTTTTTAAAGAAAATGAGTGGATTACATTGTGCCTTCTGTGCAAAGGTTTAAAACTACACTACAACAATATATATAAATACATTTTCTGCAGAACTGGCCCACTAAAGCTACAAAACTATAATACTAATAGATAATAAAATAGAGTGTGCGTTTCCAGTTAAATCAAAACATGCCAAAACTTATCTAAAATATACAAAACAGTGATTTTTATTGTTATTTTTTACCTGTTTCGATGTTCTGAGGACCACGAGCTGTATGGTGCCTCTGGCGTTTCCTTCTGATGACATGGACCGCCTCAGCGTCTCCATGGCGGCGTGATTGGAGCGCCCAAGCAGTGTCTCACCGTTCACGGCAATCATCTGGTCGTTTATGCACAGCCGACCGTCCTGTTGGGGAAAAAAATAWAACATAAGCAAATAAATATGAAGATGAAAAATAAAACCCCAATTCCAAAGAAATTA